GGATGAGGCAATGAAACAAACTACCAGCATGAGCTACTCATGGGAAACTTTAACTTTAAAGCAAAGGTAAGAGGTACACACAAAGAAGAATTACTTTGGCCGTGGACGTGACGTGAAGAAACAAATACTATAAACAGCTATAAGTATGGTAGAGAGAAATTAATAATTTCATGAGATCTTATACCTGGTTTAAGAATAATCTAAGAAGGCGATACACATGAAAAATCCTGGGGATCGACCTGTTAATCAAATAGAATTTATACTAGTAGAGAAATATTTCAGAAACACTAGGAAATCGTCAAAATCGTTGCCAAGAGCAGATTCTGGTGGTGACCAAGAACGCATTACGTGCTAGATATAGGTAAAGTTGAAAAAGAAACACTAATGAAGTCAAAGCAACAATCTGAATTTGAATCAAATCTTATAAAGACAAACCAAGGATTGAAAGAACGTTTGTCTATTGGTGTATTACCTCTATTACTCTGAACATTTATTGGGGAAAACGAAAGATTTGATAAAAAGCGGTTGACCCGTTTCATAATGAAATAAACGAAAGAAAGAAAGCTGCCAAAGTTAATTGAGGCAAAACACGATGATTTGAATAGAAATAAAAAATTAATTGAAGCACAAGAATTATAGATAAATGATTAGTGTCAATAAAATATAGACAAGAATCGAAATGAAAACAGAATAAAACATGCATTCCAAAAGTTTAAAACAAGTTAGAAGAAAGGGTGCATTACCACGGGATGCATTAGATCACAACATGGAGATATTTTAATGGACAAAGGGGATGTTGTAAATATAATTATTTCCAGAATTAGAGAAACATTTTGAAAACAACAGAAGAAAAAAAGCTGTAATAAAGAAGTCAATGAAATGACCATAGATCTACATTTTGAAAAAAGGACATTGAAACAAGGAAAAACCACAGAGCCAGATATTGTTTCAGTTAATGTGATTGTCACTTTGGAAGAACTAGGTAATGGTATAGCAAACATTTCTTATATTCATATTATAACAGTAATGTGGCGTCGGTGGCCTAGTGGTTAGGCTAAAGGACTCGTAATCGTGAGGTTGCGGGTTCGGGGGTTCGAGCCGCGGGCTCGACGTTGTGTCCTTGGGAAAGGCACTTTACACGAACTTTCCCCACTTCACCCAGGTGAAAATGGGTACCCAGCTATAGACCGTGAAAGATCTTGTCAGTTTGTTAGTGTTTGAGCGTTTAACCAGCTGCTTGCACTGTATGCTTCCCGGGAAGCCGAAAATGTTTCTGAGTGTTCTATGGTTTGCTGGGGTAATAATATAGTGTTAGGCGCATAGAGCTTGCTTTCGAGTGGGGACAAGCGCTATACAAATGCTATTTATTATCATTATTATTATTATTATTTCATAAATACAATTAAGTCAGTCTTTATAGCGTTGTCTATATCATCAATGATGTCATGCCTCACATCGAACACCAAAGAATCAAATGGTCCGGACATCTCATGCGATTACCAACACACCATCCAGCACAACGTGCCTACATAAAAAAATTTGATGGCAACAAGGCTAGAGGGCGACCGAGAAAGACCTTGATAGATGGAGTCAGGGAAACATTAACCACGCACGGCATCCCCTTGACCCAAGCTCTCCGTCGACGACAGAAAGACGTCTCTTTCTTCCCGAGACACCCAGAAGGGTATAAGCGGCGGGTAAAAGTAAGTAAGTCTATGTCATCAGTTGCAACAGTGTGTGTTTCATGGTGCAGTTTGCCTCATCAGTCACCTTTGAGACCAGAGTTATCTAAAACACAATTTGGCCTAGTTCATGACAAAGGTATTCAGAATGCTAAGTTCACCTCAACACTGTTCATGGAAATATTATTGAAGCATAGAATGACCGTTATTATATGCTTCTTTGAGTACTCAAAGGCCTTTGATAAAATTGGACACGGCGAACTGTTAAATTTCGGCAGGATCTAGACATAAATGGACAAGTTTTAAAGAAATATTAGGACTCTACTGGGGCTAAACATTTGATTTAAGATATGACGGAGAGGACAGCAAATATAACCTGATATAAAGGGAGGCACCAACCCGATCGTGCGATTGGCGCAGAATCTATAATCGAATTCGATTCACAGGGGCCTTCTGTACTAAATTGAGTGTAGATACTTGTAAATGGTTATTAATACATAAAGATAAAGAGTAAGAAGGAACGACAGGCACGCACTCTAACTCTTGCACACTCTTGCACGCACTTTAGAGAAAACAAACCGC